ATGAACAGTTCTAAGATAAATGCCCGGCTATGGGTCAGTTGTGTAATTTTTTACACAAGAACCAATTCACAAGCATTTGCAAGACTACAACACAGTCGTATTCACACAAACACAGTAATACAAAAGGATATTACGGACGCAACAAGTAATCATGGAGCAAGAAATATCATACGAAGAAAGTGATACATCTTCTAAATTTATTGATTGATTGTTGTTTCACGTCCCACACGAGCATATTTTACTCTATCAAGGTGTCACCGTGCATCGTTGAAGGGATTCAAATTTTGACCTTATTTCAGCACTTACTGCCTTTGAGCAGTGTAGGATCTTTATCGTGCCAACGTCTACCGTGACGGGCCTCGGTTTTTAAGGTCTCATTCGAAGGAACCTCTCAAATTCCACTTCGAGCGTATGACGAAGGAACAGTTGCTACATATATTTTATCGACTTAGGTTGTCAGTCGCAGCCGAGATTCGAACTACCAACCCTCCAAACACGGAACGAGCGAGTTACTGTAACGATAACAATTCCTGAAAGTTTTATTGGCATGATACAAGTGAACGCAGTGGACCCATATTCGGAATGGACAGTGAAGTTTAAGGGTAGAGACAAAAATTATTGATTAATTGTATATTTTTTAACGTCCCTCTCGAGAATTTTTCACTCATGGAGACGTCACCGTATGCCGGTGAAGGGCGTCAAGTTTTGACCTTTACTCTGCACTCAGGGCCATTGAGCAGTGAGGGATCTTTCTCGTGCCAACGCCTGCCGCTGACACGGGGCTTCGGTTGTTAGGTCACATCCGAAGGACCCGCAACTTTCACTTCAAAGTGCCGAGCGCATGGCGAAGGAAGTTGCTACCCATTTTTTATCGACTTAGGACATTCGCGGCCGAGATACGAACTCGCGCATAAATGCTACTCAAAGCGCTTAACAATACATTATTACCCAAGCAGACCATAACAAACCAGAATCTCTCTCAGAGCAAGCTGCCGTTAAGGCGCTAGAAAACTAACATTCTGACAATATCTTTCACTGTCTATAGCCAGGTACCCCTTTTACACTTAGGAACTTCGTGTAGTGTCTTTCCCAAGGACACAACGTCGACTTGCCGCGGCCAGGATTTAAACTCGCAACCTTTCGGTTTGGAGTCCGGCACCTTAACCACTAGACTATCGACGCCACATTAAATGTTGTTAATGTTCTGAAAGTCAACGAAATAGTCCAGAGAACAATAGCCGTATTGAAAAGTTTCACTCGGCATACGATGAAATTTACTGGATTAGTTTTGTTACCGTGCACATTCAAGAAACCTTTAATATTTCGTTTGAAGTCGTCGACATCAAATCTTCAGCAATACTTAGATCAGAATTCAGTTAACAGATAGGAATAGTTAAAAAGAAGTCATTGCAAAATGCAGCATTTGTGCCACTCACCAGCGATAAAACCCTCTACGCGGCCAGGATAAGGCTGTCCGTAAAAAATCACACAGGTCAAACTGAAGTAATCTAGATATGACGTCATAAAAGAATATGACGTCAAGTCACTGCATACTTGAGCCGGCTGACATGACGGGGAAAATGTCATGATTTTTACATTCCTTTCACAAGACATGTAGATTTTTTATTTGGCTTTGTTGTTTAATTCAAGTGTCGGGACTGATTTTTTTAGCCCCAGTGTGCTGTTATGATGTTGAACATTTGAAATTTAAATCTCCATATTCCTTTCGCTTGCCCGATATGCACAAGTTCAAACAACAGTAAAAAATTTAATGCGAAACTCTACCATTATACATCCATAGACAGTTCACCATGTATAACCCCATATATGGGGACTCGGAACATTGAAGGATTTTGAAGCGGAAGTTGACCTAATTAGCTTTCCAACAGTGATTGAGTTGAACGTAATCCAGTGAGGGTTCTTTATCGTTCTAATGGCTATCGTGACACGGGACCTACGTTTAAGGTCATATCCGAAAGACACGAATGCCGAGAACTTGGCGAAGGAACAGTCACTACCTATGTTTACGTCTTAGGTTTGACGTGGCGCTGCGAATGAGAATCGAACCCGGGCCTCCCGATCATGAAGCGAAAGCACTACCACTAGGCTACCGTGACCTGTTGAAATGTATGGACATAAGGAGCAGTATTCAAGCTCAAAAGTCCATAAAACAATACAAAATAAGACATAATAATAATACAAAAATAGTTCCTATGATTTTGGACAAATTCTGCTTCATATGAATTAAATACAAAATAGGAGCGAAGCAAACTCGGACCTCCAAAACATCAGAGGTGGGATCTGACAGGTGCCCTGTAGGTGTGAGCGTCCTCTGCCGACCGGTCCCAGCCACCACGTGCTCTTTGTCATGATAAATAAACTATGATTAGAGAAAAATTATAATTCTTAATTTTTGATGATGGATGCCTACGAAACACGTAATACGGTTCTTTTTCACTTGTTGGAAAATTCCAAAATGAAAACGTTTGCATGTTATTATTGAAATCCTTTATAAGAATTTTTTTATGTTTCAGCTATATTCAAACAAGAAATTTTATTTAGATTATTTGAATTAATGCCAAAACCAATGATGTACATTTTTTTCTTTCATCCTATTCCAAACATCATTTGTTTTGTTTTTAGGTCACCTGAGTCACTCAGGTGGCCTATTGCTATCCATTTTCGTCCGTCGTCATGCGTCGTCCGTCAACATTTAAACATTTTCAACTTCTCTGAAACTGCTCAACCAATTTCAACCAAATTTGGTACACAGCATCTATGGGTGAAGGGGTACAAAAAATGTGAATTTTATGGTCCCCGCCCCCTAGGGCCTAAGGAGTGGGGCCAAAACCACTAAATTAATGAAATCTTTACAAATCTTCTTCTTTACTCCTGGACATCAAGTAGTGAATGTAATAAGCATTGAGTCTTCTTCCAAAATTGTGAAATTCATGGCCCCAGGGTCATGGGTTCTAGTGCTAGGGCGTGGCTTTATTGATTATATAGTGAAAATGCATTTTTTTTTTTTTTGAAAATCTTCTTCTCTGCTCCTGGGTATTAAATAAACTAAGTAAATATTTATGATGAGCAAGAGTGCCTCTTCCAGAATTGTGAATTTTATGGCCCCAGGGTCAGGGGTTCTGGTGTTAGGGCGGGGCTCTAGAAACTATATAGTGAAAATGCATTATTTCTTTAAAAATCTTCCCTGCTCCTGGTATTAAATTAACTAACTACCGGTAAGTATACACATATGTAGTTATAATGAACAAGAGTGCCTCTTCCAAAATTGTGAATTTTATGGCCCCAGGGTCAGGGGTTCTGGTGTTAGGGCGGGGCTCTAGAAAATATATAGTGAAAATGCATTATTTCTTTGAAAATCTTCTCTGCTCCTGGTATTAAATTAACTAACTACCGGTAAGTATATACATATGTAGTTATTATGAGCAAGAGTGCCTCTACCAAAATTGTGAATTTTATGGCCCCAGGGTCAGGGGTTCTGATGTTAGGGCAGGGCTCTATTGATTATATAGTGAAAATGTATTATTTATTTGAAAATCTTCTTCTCTGCTCCTGGGTATTAAATTAACTAACTAAGTACATAGTTATGACGAGCAAGAGTGCCTCTTCCAAAATTGTGAATTTTATAGCCCCAGGGTCAGGAGTTCTGGTGTTAGGGCGGGGTTCTATTGATTATATTTGTGAGTATACATTACGTCTTTGAAAGTCTTCTTCTCCGCTCTTAGGTATTAATTAAACTAAGTAAGTACACAGTTATGATGAGCTTTGAATCCTCTACCAAAACTGTGAAATTCATGGCCCCAGGGTCAGGACTCTAGTGCTAGGGCGGGGCTATATATAAATATATAAACTAACTAAGTACATAGTTAAACTAACTAAGTACATATAGTTACGATGAGCAAGTGCTTCTTCCAAAATTGTGAATTTTAGGGCACCAGAGTCAGGGGTTCTGGTGTTAGGGCAGGGCTCTATTGATTATAGAGTAAAAGTGCATGAATCCTTTTAAAGTCTTCTCTCTGCTCTTAGGTTTTAAATAAACTAACTAAGTACATAGTAATGGAGAGCCAGAATGCTTCTACCATAATAGTGAATTTTATGGTCGCAGGGTCAGGGGCTCTGGTGTTAGGGCGGGGCTATAACTACGAGGGTTGATCCAAAAGTAATGTCACAGTGTCCATATCTTTCATATTTGGCGTCATATCAAATACAATATACCAAAAGATGCACAAATATAAATCAAATTAACATTGAAATTTTATTTAACGACGTACAACACACTGGGGGAGATAACTCTTGCAATTTCAATTGAACGTTTGACGTGACGTCAAATTTAACGTCAAAAATAAAGCGTCAAAATGACCAGTAAAACGATCCCATATAACATTCCGATTAATGATCTTTATTATAATTTGTGCATTTACGATATAAATATTGTTTTTTTCTTCAATTAAATAAAACAATAGTCAAACAAAAAACGTTTTACAATGTAAAATCGTTCTCAGACCCTTAATGATCAAAGAGGAACAACTCTGAAAATGTAGGAGATGTTTGTTTTCCCCCCTTTATTCACGTTTTTCCGCATACACAGAATCAGATACATTTATAGGAAGACCTGAAAAATCCGAGAATTGTATACTACAGACATCATACACACAATGTAAGTAAAGAAGTGAAAAGACTAGTACTGAAATTATCTGAAATATCTGAATTTATGAATATCCTATTGCAGCAAATCGTTTGACTTTCTGTCACTGTCAACAATGTCGGTTCGCACACTGTAAAAAATGTGCTTAGAAATTAAACACTACCATAACATGCTTATATCTAAACATGTTTAATAATATGTTTAACAACTAAACACTTCGTTCCAAAGTATTTGATACCTAAACACATTTAAAAATTAAATGTGTTTCATTCTTCGGTCAGTGAAATACGGAGTTGTCTTCCCGGAAATGATCGAGATATATTCAAACATTAGTTAGCGCGGTTGTTGAACAAAGAAAATCACAGGATTAGGAGAAAGCTGTTTTTCCTATAAAAATGATAGAAATTCAAGATACAACCGTTGCAGAAAAAGTGAAATACACGAGGAAGACATTTTGAAAACTGAATTAGAAGGTTTGTTTGCTTTTATCTACACAAAATGAGCATGACGAGAAAGGTAAACAATGTCAACAGTACTTGCTTATCTTATGATCTCACATTCTTTACTGAATTTAAAAGATACAATGTACACCATAGTATACTTTTACAAGAAAACCAATTAATAATTGAAGATTCTTTTATTTATGATAGAGAAAATGATGGAGAGGTTAAAAAGACTTTCAACCACACAGAGAAAACATGAACTTCCAACAGAAAAGAATTACTGATTTGATCATTGGTAGATGTTTACAAGGTAAATTTATGTTACTTGTACAGTGTACTTGTACATAATTTAAATGTGCTAAACAAGTTGTTGATCTATCTATTATATGTTAAAGGTTAATAATTTTGTAGAAAAAGAAGTTTTACTATCAAAGCAAAACCGTAAGGATCAAGCCAAGTTGAAGATCAGCAAATAGGAAAAGAATAGCATTATTAACATCATTATTGAAAGAGGACTGGAGATAATGGGGGCTACTACATTTAATTCGATAACCTTGTGTTGTGATCCTAAGCTCGGAACTTGAGATATCCCAAATACTTTCAAATTTCTGGATGTTTTTCTTGGTGACATAGACAACAAATAAGTAAAAAAAAAACTTAAAAGATGAAAGACTTTGATTATTGAAATGCGTATTTTAAAGATTTTGTGACATATACTCTACTGAATGTATGAGTTTGTTTAAAAAAATGACTTTCATTCTTATATGGATTAAATGTTAAATATTTTGATTTAATTTTAATTTTCTAATCTTGATTTAAACAATATTTATTCAGTAAACTGAATAGATTGGGCAACAGGCTTAAGCCTACAAAATTTTCTAATCTTAATAAACTAACGATAAGTATGAAAATACTCTGAAGTTCTTTGTAATTTGAATAGAGATAACTACATTGGTTTATTATAAGTGTACCAGTATTGAATAATTATTCTTCATTTGAATTGTATTTTATCATGTTTAAAAGTATAACATATTTTTATATTCTAAACACGTTTAGACCCTAAACGTGAGCTTCAGCATGCACATGTTTAGAAATTAAACGTTTACCTAAACATGTTTAGAAAATAAATGTGTTTAAGTATTGAACATGTTAAAAATCTGTCTACAAGAATAGTGTTAAGAAAAATGTTTAGACTCTAAACACATTTTTTACAGTGCATTTCCTCGAATCAAAACAAAACGTAGTCTTTAAGACTTTAATTTAAAAATATATGTGCGATTTGATATATATGACAACTTTTATATGTAAGTTAATATATTTTTGAAGCAAAAGCAATATTCCAATTTGATTTTTTTAAATTATGTATTTGTAGATTCATAGCAAAATGATCGACCCCCGTCGGAAAGACGCACGGGAACGTGATCTATTTAGAAAGGGGGAGGGGGTAATTTTCGCTATTAAATCAAAACTGGTCGTACAAAAATTATCCAAAAAATTATGATTTTATTTACTGCCAGCTACCTAAAGAAAGTTTTTTTTACTAAAATTAAACGACAAGTTTTTTCACACAAAAAGTTTGAATTTGAAAATTACACCATTTTCAAGGCTTAGATAATTCATAGTTTTTCAGTTTAATGTCTTTAAAAATTGTTTTGATGATATGTATATTACAAAGATGACTATGTTTTTGTGTTAAATGATTAAAGGAATAAGTCAAAGAAATTTGACAGGTATATCTAACCTGGCTTTTTTTTTTAAATCAAGGTTTAAGTAGTTCATTGATTAAAAATTTTCTCTCCTTGTAAACAACTAAAGGGGGGTAACTTTTGGAATTTCCTGTCCAAAAACCACTCGAAGGATTTTGTCCACAATGTGCATACATGCAGTAGATTTAGTCATGTACTAAATAAACAAAAATAACGAATATTAAACGACAGGAATTTTTTGGGGTAGGTGTGTTGTACATCCTTAAATAATTCTTATTTGAATTTGTACCATAGTTAGGTGTGATTTCTTTTGTTAAAAGTGTGGGTTTTCTGTACATAACCCACACTTTTCTATAACTCCGCCCATCGAGTCGGGACAAAAGAACTATTTATAAAACGATCATGCACGGTTTTTAAATGAAACAATCATACGGGCTTGTTATACATGTACCAAATTTAGGAGAGTAACAATTTTCAATTGTATACCGTATTTTGTAATAAATAACAAGTTAAAGACAGCCATTAATACTTTACATACTTTAGTTAAAAGTGAAGAAAAAACTTCCGAAATCGCTTGATTTTTTAAACAGTTTTTTTTACATAGTGTAATGACCAGGGTGACGTTGGCTAAGTAGATTCTAATATAACGAACAAAGGAAACACGATACATACTTGACGTAAAAGCAAGTGAACACTACTGTACTTAAATGACATTTTCGATTGCGGATCTAGCCGATCAAAGATCTAATTTTCATTAAAATGAAATATACATAACCCCTAACAAACATTTCAATCAACGTTCCACTGTGTACGGCAAAGTTTGTATCAGGTTTACAAAAAATTAAGTTAAATCAAGTTCATAATAAATTTTGAAATTTACGAGAAAAAATTCATAACAAATTAACATATATCATTGACACTAAACACGTTATTTTTTCAATGACATAAATCAAACTTTTTAAACGGGCCTAGATATGTTTAATTTTTATGTCGCTTGCGTGGCCCAGTGGTTAAAGCACCTGCCCTAGAGCCACGAAATAAGGAGTTGAATCCCACTGTGGGACGTGGAGACCTATAAAGTATAGACAGATGTACCGTGTCGCAGAAGGTGTTGACAGGAAGATCCCTCACTGTTCAATGACCCTGAGTGCCGAGTTTAGGGCAAAATATGTAGCAAAATTTAAATAGTATTGTATACAAATCACTTACCCTATAATCGATGGACGTGGTCAGAAGGACACGAAGAAGCGTAAAATCATATAAAATCCAAATGCATCTTTGAAACCAAACACTTAATGTTTCAATCACGCGAACCAGTCCGACCGATTCCTAAGCTGACTTACATATGAATGATTTTTGAAAACTATGGTACAAGTCATTTACCCCATATCAGACTGTTGATTATGTGTAGATACCCCATGGGCGTGGTCATAATGACAACTCGGGAGCTACGCTCCCTCGTGGCATTATGATCACGCCCATCGGGTATCTACACATAACCAACAGTCTGATATGGGGTAACTACTACTTATTTTATAGTATTCTATAACATAAAACATAGGGGGTGTCGCCGCGTCACAACGGAACGTCACGTTTTAAAGCGTATTTTTTCTTTAATGAAAAAGACAAACACATTCAAAAGATTCTAAAAAAGCATCTAATCTTCCAATCTTTTAAAAGACACAATACTCGTCTTTTTCTAGTCTTTAATTGAAAATTAAAAGACGGCATTGGTATTTGTGATCATAAACGTTGTTGTTTTACTCTGTTGAATTGACCAAAGGGATTGTCGAAATGGGAAAAAACGGCTCGACGAGTTGTAATGCATTTTTGCTTCAAAATATGGGAATCATCACTAACGGCAGTTACGTTAATGTAAATAAGAGACGTACATCTTAATAGATGGTTTCAGCAATTTTGGGCGGTTGATTGGTCATTGAATAATCAGCAGAGGAAAAGAAGACCGAAAGATAGGAAATCGGAGAGAAACTTTCAATGGTGTCTGACATTGTCAAAAACAAAAACAAACAAACGTATAGAGTGACATGTGAATTTTTAAGTTTGTCTTATGCTACTGTTCAAAAATTTGACAGAGGGCTTAATTTTGAAAAGAGTAAGTGTATTATGGTACCAAGAATTCTTAAAGAAACTGTAATTGGTGAAAGTATTTGCAAATCAAATATTTTTTTAATGAAACGAAGGAGAAACGCTTAAAAGTTTGACGGTGTGTATCCGTCATATGACGTTATATTTAGGTGCGGCGACTACCATAAAGGCGCATTGTTTAAAATCAGATATTTTGATAAGTATACATCATATTCCTTTGAATTTTTCAGGTCTGATTTGAAATAAATAAAGCTTCCATCATGTATAATTTATTTGCTTTACGTCGATTCATAGCAATTTTATCAAAGTTGTGACATTACTTTTGGATCAACCCTCGTAAATAGTAAAAAAAAAAAAAACATCAAATTTTTGAAAATTTTCTTCTCTGCTCCTGCGTATTAAATAAACTAACCAAATACATAGTTATGATGAGCAAGAGTGCCTCTTACATAATTGTGAATCTTATTGCATAAAGGTTAGGAGTTCTGGTGTTAGGGCGGGGCTCTATTGATTATATAGTGAAAAAATACGTTAATTTAAATTTTTGAAAATTTTCTTCTCTGCTCCTGCAGAAGAACTACCTTTTTACTTATGATGAGCAAGGGTCCTTCTCCCAGAATTGTGAATTTGAAGGCCCCGGGGTCAAGTGTACCATAGAGGGGGTGGGGGCTCTACTTATATACTGAAAATGAATGAATTGTTTGAAATCTGCTCTTGGTATTAATCAAACATTTTTGATAAGCAAGGGTGCCTTTTCAAAAATTGTGCAATGTGTGGACCTAGGGTCAGGGGTTCATGTGTTGTGTGGTAGGGGCACTACTGATTATTACTGAATATTACTAATTAGTTGAAATGCATTTTTGTTCCCATACCCTGCCTATGGGTATTAAGTAACCAAACTAAGCAATTGCTAAGTGTATAGTTATGATTAGCAATGGTGCCTCTTTCAAAATTGTGAATGCCATAGCACCTGGCTTAAAACATGAATCAAATTCAATCACTGGAAAATTCCTGCATGATGCTCAGGTGACCTATAAGGCCCATGGGCCTCTTGTATGAATAAGCTTTTTAAATTAGATTTGTACGAAACGTTCAGAACTTGAGTCTATCTCGTATACATCTACGTATATATGTGCTTGTTCTGAATGGGAATTCATGAATATATAACATTTATATGATAAATTTTTATTAGAAATGACTTTCATAAGATTCAGAGAATTGTGTTTTTATGTCTTGGTTTTAACCCAAGCCAGGAATTTTCCGTTCCGTTCCGATTTTTTCGCAACATCAATTCATTTTCGATCAAATCTTCCATTAAACCTCACGAGCGTTTGAGATTTGAACATTTCATATTTATATTATTATAAATGCTTTTAAAATATGATAGTTTAATGAAGAAAAATTAAAATTTTGAGTACGAAGATGATACATGTGAAGAAAACTCAAAAAGTTTAGGCATCATCATAGAACCCCATACACAACCCATGATAGCCATTTCTCCTTGAATCTGGGCAAAATGTTTGTGCTGTGTTTTCAGTCTCGCTCCCTCATCCAGTGTCTTGCAAGAAAAACCCTCTACCAACCAGTTTATGCACCTGTTAAGTGTATGTCAATGTAAGATTGCTTTTATGACTAATAATAAAGACAACTCAGGAGGTGAACATGTTCTTTGTCAGTAATGACTTGATTACTGATGTAGTAGGGGCGTTTTATTTCCGACACTCCTCTTTCATTTATGTCTGGCATGGATTCATCTTATTTATACTCATCCATCATGGTTGCTCCAAGAATGATTCCTGGAGCAGATTCCTGGGCAAAGGAGCATTTTTTCTCATTCTCTACACCCTACCTGACTGGCAAAGGAAGTGTTCGCTACCTTATTAAGTGAAAGGAGGA